ATAAATAGGACTATTCTTTGTAAATAGTAGAAGGTTCTTCTTTTGCTCAATTGGAATAGAGCATAGGTTGATTAGTATTTTTAGAGGATTCTTTGTGTACCGGGTACACTTTTGGGAAGATATTTACTTGTATCGGTTACTTTTTTAGTACTTTTATTATCATGTGCATAGTAATAAATAATTTGTTTCCTATTTTTAATGCTTACGACCTGTAGTTAAATTGGCAGTGCATTAGAAAAGTCTCTCCCTTGTCGTAACAATGGTCTTCATGTTCTTGATTTGGACCCCTGTCAGCGACCTGGAAATTTTTGGAAACAAATTTTTGAACAAAGCCTGGGTGTAATTGAATAAAGTTTTCTCGATTGGCATTGCTACACAAAATCGTGTTATTTGATAGTCGGCAGCGCTTTTCTAATGAAAAATACCAATTTTCACTATTTCGGAATTGATTTTAATATGAAACCACAATGCCAAAATAGTTTTTGCAGCATGTATAGTCCCTGACCTGTGTTGCGGCATGTTACACATGATCTGATTTTACGATTTTATTTATAGAAAAAATTTTTTATACAAACATTACACTGCATATGTTTACAATTTTCTTTTTATCCTTTTCAGTTATAAGGATTGGAATCGTTTTATGTAGTCAACTAATATGTGTAGATGACTAATTAATCGACTAAACGTAGTAGTCGACTAGGCCGATTCCAATCTAACAGTAATTGCTTTGTTAAACACGTCAAATCCAATTCTTCATTATTTCAATATTAATCAAATATATATGGCGTACGTTGGAATGGAGTTATTATGGATTTAGAATCCACATAGGTCGATTCCGAATAAATATAGGTTATAATAGAATTCTAAATTGTATTCGAGTTAAAGAATTCAAATTCAACTTACAAATAAATTAAGTGGATTTTAAATTATTTTATCAAGTACAGTATATTGTTTTGGAATTTAAGTCATTTTAAAATAAAATATATTAATAATACAAACGCAACTCATCGCAAATTAAAAAGCTTTTATATTTATAATTGGTAGAATAAGAACTACTATCACAAAGCAAATTCATTTTTTTTATAATTATACAGTAAAAATAATTTTTATCTCATGCATTTTTGCAATTACATTTAATATTATCTACTTACAAAAAGGATTATATTATAGATACTTCTCGAATATTTATAAAAGTTGAAGGAATATTATTTAATTCGAAAACTTGTTGGAACACAATGAATACAGGTGGTTTGTGTCAAGTAAATAAGCTAGATTATAGGGATTGTTTGTGTTTCAAGATACGCATAGAATTTATATTTGTTGCCCAATAATGATCTTTTTATAGAAATCAAAGTCTTTATGTGTAATAAAGGTTTAACATTTCCTATTAACCGATTTGTTGCTAAGGTATTTTAAAAGCAATTCACCAAATGTGTTAGAAGATTTTCAAATATAAAGTTGTAAGAATGAAAAAGAGAAAAAAAAATGTAATAAAAAATTTACATCTAAATATTTTGTCAACTTACAGTCAGATCTCCTTATGTGCGTAGCTGAGAAAAAATCCCAGCGTTACCACCAATCAGGGACCAGAGAAAATATTGATTTATTTAGATCAATATAAATCGATATTTTTAAGTCAAATCGTGGGTAAATCGATATTTTTACGAATCTTTCTGTAGTGTAACATTACACAATACTGGTGGCCAGAATTATGAATAGTGCTGGCCAAAATTGATTTAGAGACCTCTGAATCGTAATATAAAAGGCTTTTTCACGATTATCTTACAATTTAGATGGAAGCTTTTTTTTTTTTTTTTTTTTAATAAAAAAATAAAAAAAGATATTTTTTTTTGATGTTTCGTTGAAGGCTCTTTATTACGGCCAGGACAATAAAATGCCTCCCAAATGAGTTACCGCATATTCTCACACGCAGGAATTTCAAGACAACTTCGTTGCTGATGCCGGCCTTTTGATGTGCCGATTTTGTTGCCACTCTGTAAATTGGAAAGCAAAAGCAACTATTATAGCCCATATTAATACAAATGCACATCAAAATTTAAAACAAAAAGCACTTACCTCTTCAAGTAAAACCAGACAACCCAC